CAAAACCTGCATGAAGCCTTCACTCAAAATTCCATAATTTAGTGCCCACACTGTCCAACACCTGTCACCATTCAAATTAATACATCTGCTACATAAAGTGAGCCCACGTTTTTCACAAATTATGCTCGGTTTATGACACCGACTGTCACTGAGAAAGACTGCGAAATTACCAGAAAAGACACATTAATATTCAAATTGCAAATATATGTGTGTGAGTCAAGACTTTCAGAGCCTTTGATGGTCCTAAGTAAAAGATTCTGCATCCTATGATTAGCTTCCTAACCTCGGCATGATTACCATCCTTACATATCAGAGAGGCACAGAGCTGAAATTATCCACATCTCTGTGATTATAATGACTGAAACAAATCTGAGATGTGTGTGATGATAACACGATGATTCAGCCCGAGGTTAAGTTCCTGAGTTCCCCACGACTTTTCTCACAGATTCCTCTTCGTCTGTAAAGATCTATTAATCATCATATTGATCTGGTGATGCAGTTTGTTGATTCGCAGCTGAGGTCTGTTGTTGAGGAAGAGGAACAGGGGAGCTCAGGAAGAGATATTATCAAAGCGCCTTGAGAAATTTGTGTGACTTGTTTTATTTATAGTTAGATTTTCATCAGTGGTAAATGAAGTAACAAGCTCTTAGTTTTATGAAACACTTCCTATTATTTACCCACAAATTAAACAGATCAGCAAACACATGGGACTGAGGACACAGACGACTGGAAGTAAACTGGAAGAGTTTAAAATTGCCTGACGAGTTATTTACCCTCAAATAAAATGCACTTTTGTCGCAATAATAATCACAATAAATATCTATTACTCATTCATGCACGTTTATGTGAAACATTTATTAATTCTACCTGGCTGTTTTCTGTTTTTAAAAAAGCATATTAAAACTTCTACTAAACCATCCATCACATCCCCAGAGTACACCTTTGTAAACATGCATATTAGAGATTATATATAGTTTGTAATGCTAATTGCTAATTTTGGCGTAGGTTTTGTTTCAACACAGGGATACAGGGACACATATAAAATGGAGGATTTGGGGGTCCTTTGCCAGAATAGTTTCTTGAATAGCTTCAACACTTGATTTCTTCCACTTTGGAAAACTCAGTTTAGGTTACGGGCTGGAATAAAAGATCATAACATACCTTTTCACCTAATGCTGTATATTTATTAGTTTTTTTCCACAAGATATGATACCCCCAGTCGTTAAAAGTAGTGAAGTACATTAACTCAAATACTGTACTTAAGTAGAATTTTGAATTATGTGCACTTTACTTGAGTATGTCCATTTTCTGCTGCTTTATATTTCTACTCCACCTCATGTCAGAGATAAATATTGTGCTGTAAACTCCACTGCAGTTTTTTGACAGCTGTAGATACTCTGCAGATTGAGATCATTAACACAAAATACTAAAGGTATAGAGTTCGTTTCAACACTGGAGGAGGGGAGACACATATAAAATGGAGGGTTTCAGGGTCCTCTGCGTGTCCCTCACGTCCCCCCTGATATCTACTCCTATGCAAAATGGCTCCAACACATTCTCACTCTGACCTCGTCACATACACAGGTACCCTGGGTGCGTTGGTTGTTGATGTTCTGGGACACCGTGTCAAGTTCTGCCTGTTACATGCATTGTCTTCTTTCAAAATACACTTCTGTTTTCACAGAAAATTTAACATTTACATAGAGTCTCTTTGAAAATATACGCACTACATCAGTACAACACCACAAATTGATGTTTTTTTTCCTTCAGTGACAAACACATGTGGTTGGGTTTAGGCAACAAACACACATGGTTAGGTTTAGGAAAAATGAACAGGGTTTGGCTTTAGAGTCTTATGGGATACAAACACTGCTCTCTCAGGTGAAGGTCGGTGTTTGTTGGACCCATCCACCAACGCTCCCGCCCACCCCAGTAGGACTTTCACCACCTTAACTTTTGTCCTTGTCCCACCACATTTCCCCTGATGCCACTAGCGCCATTAAAGTGTAACCGCAACTGGCCATGTATAATGCCAGTGTTAAAGGACGCCTTTTTTTGTTGGTTTCTGACGCCACAAGTCACTGCCCAAGTGCAGGATTTCGACAACTTCGGAGTGTGAAGGGGCTCAAAAATAGCTATATTTACTCAAATATTGTACTTAAGTACATTTCTAAATTATTTGTACTTTAGCGTGTCAATTTTTGCTACTTCATACCTCTACTCCACTATCTCAGAGGTAAATATTGCACTGTAAAATGTAGCTACTGCATTTATTTGACAGCTGTTGTGACTTTACTAAAGCTGTTACTACCAGTGGCGTGAGGAAGTTACAATGGGCTCCAGTGAAAACAATTATGATGGGCCCTAGAGCACGTTATTGTGCATGTATTATCTTGACACAGAGAACTGAAATTAGACAACATTACCATCCATACCATGGTTTCTATGTTACTGGGGTTTGGAGGTACTCTGCAAGAAAATTTTGACCCCAAAACACTTAATTCCGGCATTCTGGTGAATTTTTGAGCTTCATTTTGTGCATGTTTAGCATCAGTTTATTATGTAAACATCTCTTGTCAAAATAAAGTCTGTTATTCATCATGCTTGTCTCTTGAGTTTGGTGGGCTGAAGACCAATTTCCACCCTGGTGGACAATTAAGATCTATTCTATTTATTTTATTCAAAAAGTCCTCTGCTCCTTTCATGTTTTTATAGGGACAAATACACGTTATAAATACTGAGGAGCGCTAGTCCCCTGTGTCCCCCCTGAAATCTACGCCTATGTAAGATATAGTCAGCAAATAATATGATGTAGCCTTTTATTATATCTCGAGCTACCCAGCAGTGTATAAAGTAATGACAGTTAACCCAACTTTTACCAGCTGCAATATTACAGTGATTAACACATTTATAGATCCAGAATTATAGTCAATTAATATAATAGATATATTCTTCTAAAATGGGCCATTTGTGCATAATGTGTACTTTTACTTATAGTACCTTAGGTATATTTTGTTGGTATTACTTTTGTACTTTCACAAAGTGAAATTTTGAATGCAGGACTTCTCATTGATGGTGTTTTATTATAGAGTGATCCACCTAATAAACTGCTTTTGAGTTTTTATTTCTTGGGGTCTCTCTAAACCACTAAACTTCACTGCATTTATTTGACTGCTATTGTTACCTACTACAGCTGTTACGACATTACGGGGGTTTAGGGGTCCTTCGCCAAAATATTTTTAATCTGAGTCACTTAATTTCCCACATTCTGGTGAATTTTTATGTACCATTTTGTGCATTTTTGCATCAGTTTATGGTGTAAATGTCTTTTGTGAAAATATTTTTTAATTTATAATCATTTTTTATTATGTTTGTCTCCTGTGTTTGGTGGGCTGAAGACAAATTTCCAACCTGGTGCACAATAGGGATTTATTCTATTTTATTATCATGTTTTTATAGGGACAAATACATAGATATAGAGGGGCATGTGTCCCCTGTGACCCCCCTGAAACCTACGCCAATGCAAAATAGTCACAAATAAATCATGATGTAGCCTTTTATTATATCTGGAGCTACCCAGCAGTATATTAAGTAATGATAATTACCCCAACCTTTACCTGCTGCAGCATTACAGTGACTAACACATTAATACAGTAATTATAATCATTTATATAATATATATTCTTCTGAAATGGGCCTTTGTGCATTATGTGACTTTTACTTCAGTATTTTATTTAGTGGTTAATTCTTTTACTAAAGTGAAATTTGGAATGCAGGACTTTAAGTTGTAACTGAGTATTTCTTAACTGCAGTATTACTGCTTTTACTCTGGTAATAGATATTCCTCGGGTACAATAGGCCTATAAGGTATCAGCCGTTATGCAGCCCGGGGAAAAGTCCTCATCCTCCCTGTGAGACTGGGCCACTTTTGATATGTTCGGAGAGAGGTCTGTGGAGGTGGACAGAGGACTAATCTTATGAATGTGTATCGTTTATGAAAGAGGATTAACCTTTCAGCAAACAGTGAATCCGCTGTGAGCCCTACACAGCCGCCCGTGAGCCCCGCTCGTGCTACCCGGAAATATTACAAGGGCCGGAAAGGACCGATGTTAAGGGAGCACACGTCACTCACTTTTGCCCAAAAATATTATCAACGACCATCAAAATTTTTCCCGGGGCCGTCGAAATCTTGAGCAAAAGCTCCCCGACGGCACAAACGGTCGTAACCAAATGGCGAGGAGGCGGCTGCGGTATCCGTCGGCGTTGATTTCTTGTGGGAACCGTGTAAGTGTTGACCCAGCTCAGCATCAGTGAAAATGGCTCTGGCTAACGACTGGAAAACAGCACGCAGAAATGGAAGCGGACGATAGCTAGCTAGGCGGTTAGAAGAAGGCGTGACAGGCCTCATCCATCTGCAACTGTGCTCTGCAACTGGATGCGTAGGTAAACATTTGCCGAACATAGGTTACGCTTATGTATATGCTAACGCTAGCATCGTGTTGTTAACGGTAGTCGGCATGCTTTTAATAATGCGCTGTGCAAAGATGGCTAACGTTAGCTGTAGCGGTTAGGTGGGTTTCTAGATTGCGTGTGGCACCAAATGGCTAAACACGCTGAGCCAGTGTAAAATATGATGCTAAGGAGAACCGTGAAGTTTCGCATGCAAGCGCGTCCAATGTTTTCCTTTTTTTACTTCCAAATGTGAGCCAATACTATTACAGGATGCCTCCTCAAGTGCATCCGTTATTACTTGCGCCTGTAAGATACTGCTAATGTTTACATTGTGCAGCGGGTGGTGTGGTGCTGATGGTAATTTTAGCATTTCTGCCCTTTCTTCACAGGATTGGTGATGTTACACTAAAATGAGAGGCAGACAACTATACGATAGATTATCTCCCTCATCTTCCAGGGGAGCTCAATCCCCGCTAGGTTCATCGCATCGATTAGAGGAAACGGTAAGATATAACGAGGTGAGCACAACGAGATGCAAAGTGAGTGTTTCTGCTGTACCCTGGGCACTTTGAGCCTCTCCACAAGTATAGTTATTAAATCAAACAACAACTTACCTCTGTGTAGTTAAAGGCTAATGCACAACGCAACGGTTACACTCTGTATTCTCCATTTTTTGATCATGCAAAGTGCATCTAAGTGCATTCATATATTTAAATTGCATTGGTTTATCATGTTGGTGGTGGTAGCTGGAGCAAGATTAGACATATTGTAAAACTTCAATTAATAACCTGGGCTATTATTCGCTTAAATCACTGAAATCAGTGTGTCTATGTTTGGGACAGGCCTTAAATTCCTTTCACACAAAACTGTTGCTCAGCAAAGATCAGGAAACACAATCAAACTGTTCAACCAGAAGGCTTCAGATAATATATCAATTATGAATCATTAATGTGATCTAGCTCCAACAGACAGCACATCACAAAGAGAGTGAGTTACGGCACTTTAGGATTACAGCACCCAGCATACAGACGGAGCACCACTTTGATATCCTAATATTTATATTTATGATTTTGGTCTAGTGATTTTATTAACTTTTATTGTATATCACTGAATTGTTTGATTGTATGATCTGTGGATACATTGCTTCTTGTTTTTTACTGTCTTGTAAGGTGTCCTTGAGTGTTCTGAAAGACGCCTATAATAAAATCTATTATTATTTATCCTGTTAGAATAATCCTCACAACTTGGATTATTTTTTTATGAAAAACCCTTTTGATTCTTTCAATTTGAAGACCCTTATGGACCAAAGGAATGTGAATAACTTACAGGGTAACCAAGCACGGACACATGATTTAAGGTAGCCGACAACCAGAGTTTATTTACATCGAAAGAACTTCTATTAAAAGACTATTATTGTGACAGGCCTTTTTCTGTCAAAATGTGTAGCCACACCGGGTGAGTAAAAGGGACTGGGAGTTTAATTGAGACTCGGCTTTTAATTGAAGCTTTACGGTAATCCACTTTAACGCCACTGCTCATAGTGACTGCAGGTTAAACAAGGGCAGTTTAGTGTAGTTAAGATATTTATAAAAATGAATCAATACACATGATAAATTCTGATCAACATGGAGAATGTGCACTTTGAACAGATGCAACTTGATATCTACAGGCATCCTGTCCTCATGACCTACTTTAAGGTGCTACACAGCATCTGATACTGTGTAATTACCCCCACCATGCCCGCTCGGTTGATTGAACACCACTAATATTAATTTGAGAACATTTATGATTAAAAACCAATCCCATATTTGACATTATATTGACTGATTTTATGATAAAAATGAAACCAACGTTTGTTTAAAGGTATACTATGCAGGATTTTGCTTAAAAAAGAACAATGTATAGACAGAAATAATCCCTCTCAGTCATCACTTATAACCCACCAGAAGTATGTGGCGTGTATTTTTCTGCAGTGAATCTACCTTCTACCTGTTTTTGGGATGGTTAAGGGCGTGTAACTCCACAGCACTCAGGTGAAGTTGGGGCTTTATAAAAAGACCGTAAGCAGCACACATCAAAGAGACATAGCGCCAAAACATGCAAATAAAGCGTGGCTAAACACCAAACAAGAGTAATCCTGATATCGCCTTTTACTTTCACTCGGCTGGCGCGTGTGTTTACACACCGTAACCAGCAATCCTGCATAATATACTTTTAAACTAATTAATAGCTGCACGCCTTTGTGACTGTCTGCTCATAAAGAAACTAAAACAGAAATTAAAAAACTCAATGGTGAAAGTACGGTGAGTATTGGGCAAGAGCATGGTTTTGTTTTAGCACTAAATGTAGACCGAAAAACTGTCAACTTTCTTGTGGTAATAATTCCAAGTCATGATTTGCAGAATTGTGACAGCACAGATGGTTAAATGTAACAGGGACGCCACTAGTGTAAGTAGAGCGGGTAAAATACAAATAATCAGTTATGTACACACCTGCATTTAACCAAAAGCGAGGCATCTGCTGTCTAATGTGGTTTTTCATGCAACACTACTGTGCCTTTTTATGTTCTGTCTGCACCTCTTGTTGAATGAACATTTGGTAGGCTACTTGCAGAGATAGCCGCAGACACTGAATTCATACTGTGCAGAATACAGTGTGAGATATAGCAGAACTGCTGCAGGGTTAAATGGGTCAAGTGTATAATGTTGTCATAAACTGGGTCACTATCAAAGTAGTGCTGTGAAATAAGAATCGCCTGCCTTTATGTTACTGCTAACTCACCTTTCATAACCAGCTGTATGCGAAGACAGTAAGAATGTTGAGTAACAGTAATGTAACTCTTGCTTCCTTGTAAAGACGAAACTAATGATAAAAAGAATTGGCATTCATGCAACAACTCTGGTTGTGCTGCAGTCCAGCAGAACCATATCATGGTAAGTTATTACAAAATATAAAAGATTGCATATGTTAAGTAACATGTTTATGTGGCTTAAGTAGAAATTTCCTGGAGAGAGGTACCCTGAATAATTTATTTTGTATTTTACCTTTAATAAACAGAAAAAGTAACCAGACATTGAATTATATGTTGGCCACTTTGCTCACTTCAACTGAGGGGCTAAATTGGCTCAGAATAATAAGAAAACTTTGGGAGGTAAGTGGCAGCATGAATAAGAAAGTAGTGATCACTAAAAATTAAAGTGTTTTAAAGTAAAAAATATAAAAATCCTCTATTATAGTTAATATTCCCACTTAAAAAAAAATCAAAAAAAAAAAATCCGACCAGTAAAAGAGCAGTGCGCATCAAGGTGGCTAATGTTAGAGGAAACATCAGAGAGATTCAGCCGTACATGTTTGAACCTCAGTCAGAACCAGACTCAGATGAGGAGTCTATTATGCATCCATATCGGCAAATTACAGATGAATCAGAATGGTAAGTGTAGTCAGCATCTTGTAACTGACTACACTTACCATTCTGATTTGTCTGTAATTTGCCGATATGAATGGTAAGTGTAGTCAGCATCTTGTAACTGGCGCTGGTAACACAGCGTCTGCCAGCAGTCTACTCAAAGTTTGCAGAAAGATATATTCCGTCTGCCTGAGATATTTATATTGCTTGTGTTAAGTGCGATGTATGATTGGCTTTTGAATTAGTGACGTATGTTTTTCTATCTTGCCTAGCGTACGTTTAAGTCTCAGACTTTAGGGAAGTGCACAGACATCGCCCCCTTCAAGAGAAGAATGTGACATCATCTCTCTATTGACAAACTGCACAGATACAAGTCCATATAGTCAAGGTCAGACATTTTAGGGCTCACACAGGGTTCTTGCGGATTCTTATAAAGTACTAATATGCATTTAATTTTTTTTGGTGGTGGGGGGGGGGGGTTACAAGTACTAATATGTGGTATCAATCAAATATAGAGGTAAGAAAAAAAGCACCTTTAACCTTATGTCAAAGTATTCTACTTATTTCAATGTCATTATACTCTCTTCAGTCAAGTATTGTGATTTGCCAATAAAATACTGAATCATAATTTCACCAGAGGTAAACCTCTATGTTTTCTAATGTTACAGTGCAGAAGTTGGTTTCTATCTATAAAGATTCACCTTAAAGTAAAACGTTCTTTTTGTCTCTGAGTCAGGGGAACAACAATTTTTGAAATTGGTCTAGTATTGAGAGAGGGCTGCAGCCGGCAGCAGCGAAACAGGCTTTGATGTAATCACTTGGGGTAGGTATGAACCGTCAATTTACGCCCATTGAAAGGGCTTGTTTTTGTCACTGACAGGCTCATGTTGTTATTGTAAGTGTCCTAAAACATTATGTAAAGGACCCTACAGCGAAACCAAACATGTTTTCCAGCCTTTTTCTTGTTCCAGTTTGTTTTGTGTCCATGTCTTGCAAAAGGAGAAGTCTCATTCTGAAATCTCACAAGAGGGGACCTGTTACAGGAAGAAAACACTGGAATAGAAAATGAGGTTTGGAAAGATGAGTGCCAGCAAGAGTTTGTTGTGTTGGAGTACAAAAAGCATATCTCAGTCTTATCCAAAAGTTTTTAATGTCAAGGCTAAATATTTAGTTAATTTAGACAAATTGAAAAGGTCTCACATTGCAGAATGTGACTTCTCCTTCACCGAGACTTGGACACAAGCAGACCAGAACAAGAGAAGGGTATAAAAAAAAGTTTCATTTCTCTGAAGGGTTCTCTACATAATGTTTTCAGACACTCATAAAAAAACTGAGCCTGTCTGTGGCAGAAACAAGCATGTTTAATGGAGGTAAATTGATGGGGTGCACCTGCCCTGAGTGGTTATACTGTACCCTGTTTTCTGCTGCTGGCTGCAGCACTCTCTCTCTCAATACTGAACCAATTTCAAAAATGGCCATTCCCATGAGTCACATAGACACAAAAACACTGGAAATTAGGGCCCAGGTTGAAAAATACCAGAGTTCCTCTTTAATGGAAGGGGCACCTTGTTACAGGTTAAAGGCCTACCAGCAGGGGGACAGTAAGTGGAATTTTATTAGAAATTACAGTCCTGTTCCTCTCTATGACTTTCATCTCTTTGTGAATTTTGTTTTTTCGGTTGTAGGAACGTCTTGACTGAACACGGATGAGGAAACTTGCTTAGATGAAGGATAATGTCCACGCAGTAACTCTCAAAGGAAACAAGAAGTCGTCATTTGAACTGCTTCTCAATAAAAACTATTCTAAGCAATTTTGAAAGTAGGTGGAACTCATCTACCTGTCTAAAAGACATTTTTACCCTTTGATCATAAACTCATCTTCCCGGCCACGCCACTCATTTTGGAAGTAGAGTGTGGGCAGTGGATAATCACCAGGGAGTAGCAGCACCAGAAGTAAACTATCTGGAGAGACGAACTTAAGATATAAGACATTCAAGTAGTTCTGGAATAAGTAGTAGCATAGCCTCACCCTTAGGGTAAAGTTTGTCTTTCACCAGTCAGTGGTGGGATTATTGTTGCCACTCCTAGCACTGGAGGTTCGGCCCCTGCACCCCCATGTGCCAGTGAGTGGGAAATGTTCCAATTTGGAAAATACAATCTGGACATTATAGAGATGTTAAGTGGGCATCAGGCCCACCAGTTTAAAGGCCTTGGTTTAGATCGACAACTTCAGCATCAACAGCAAGTGCAACTTCACCAGCATCAACTCCAGCAGCAGCAGCAGCAGCAGGCTGAGTCTTCTGGAGCTCTTCTGTCTGGACTTGGCTTGGGCCCCCTGCAGGGGTCAAGAGGTAACGCCTTTTCTGATTCTGCCTCCATTTTTGCCAAGATGAGTGCCCCTCCTCCCCCACCTTTACAACAACAGCCTTCCTCATCTCAGAGCTCTCGTTCAAAGTCAAGCAAGATGAGCAGCAGCAGCTCAAGCCATTCATCAGGCTACCCACAGTTCCTGCGCTCTTTCCACCCGTCTGAGGCAGCACTAGCACAGGAGCAGTTACACCCAGGTGTAGGTCGCTTTGAGCACTTTGCTGGGGGAAGTAGCAGTAGTGGGAGTGCTGGGGGATTAGGAGGATTAGTAACATCAGCACCTCCACCCCCTCCTCCTCTGCATCCCGGCCTCTCTGTCCCCCAGGCATCATCTGGTCCCTCCTCTTCCTCTCCTTCCCCTTCAACATCTGTGGCCACCTCTAATAACCCCTCTAGCAGCAGTGCAGTCAGCTCATTGGGACACCAGTTGGTTGGGGCCCAGTCTGATGCACGAAGCCTTCACCAACAATTTAGTTGCATGTTAGCCGCTAATCAGTATTTTCTTTCTGGGGTGCCTGCTAACGCTAGTTTAGAGCAATTTCTCGTTCAACAGGGAACCCATAACCACTTAGGGATTGGTTTAAGTCAGACAGGCGCAGAGCCTAGCACTAGCCTTGCTCCGCCTCCCGCTTTGCATTCTTCTCACTCACACAGCCACTCCACTCCCCAGCCACAGCAGGCCACGCAGCAGCCACCCCAGCAGCAACAGCTTCCACCTCACACCCTTTCTCATCCTCACTCTCATTCTCATCACCACCCGCTCCACCCAGGCTCCCAGCCCTCATCACTGGGTGGCTTTGACTTCCAGGGCATCCCTGTACTCTCATCGAATCAGATAGCTTCTCTGATGCAGCAGGAAGCAGGTTTGCCACTCCCCTTGCCACTTCATTTATCCTTATCTAAAGATGACGGTAAAGGGGAAAGCAGTGGAGGTGGGAGCAGTAGTAGTAGTGGTGGTGGCAGTAGCAGTAGGAGGAAGAAAGCTATGGCTGGGTATTTGCCGCAGAGAAAATCTGAAAGCGATAGGACTAGCAGCAGCGGGCATGGCCATGGCAGCCATAGTGGTAATCCCACCACTAGTAGTAATGGCGGAGGGCTTAGTCATGGTCAGCCGCCAGCTTTAATTGGGAGTGGGGTTGGTATGTCAAATTTGAGTGGAGACCCATCCTCCCTTCTTGCCTCATCATCCTCATCCTCATCAGTAGTTTCTTCCTCCTCCTCCTCTGCTCCCTCTTCCACTGCTGCCTCAGTACTGGTTACTAATGATTCTCACCTTTCTAAATCTGATAACCAGAGCTCAATGCAACCCAACAACACTGAGTGTGATTCAGAGCCCCTTTATAGCTGTGGAGAGTGTGGCAAAAGCTTCCCTCACCTTTCAAGCCTTCGCAGGCATTTGCGCATGCATGAGCCAACCACAGCAGGTACTAGCAATTCTTCCACTACTGGCCCCAACCCCATTCACATAAAAACACAGTCAGACCCGAGCCTCCCCCATTCGACTCAAGAAACGCCCCAGTCCTCAACCAATTCTTGTCCTAGCCCAGACAAAATATTTCATTGCCCCGATTGTGGCAAAGGCTTTAAGAAAAAAGGGCACCTCCTGCAACATGGTGTTTTACACTCTTCAGCCCGCCCATATGGCTGCTCCACCTGTTCTCGGGCTTTTAATCGTAGAGAGTCACTGACACGCCATGAGAAGATACATGAGGAAAAGCCATTCCGATGTCCCGCCTGTGGTCGTGCCTTCCGTGAGAGCACCTCTCTACTCAACCATGCTGCCTCAGGCACCTGCGGCAAGCCAGGTAGGGGACCCAAACAAAGGGGCAGCAAGACAGGATCTGATGGTGAGGACAGAGTCGGGGGAGGGGATGGAGGAGGTAATGGAGGAGGGGGAACTTATCAGAGCAATAGAGGGGTTATTTATGGGAAAACTGAGGAAGAAGATGGTGTAATCATTGTGGGGGAAGGAGAACCAAAATCAGGTTTAGGATGTGATGGTCTGTTTCAGTCTGGAAGGGGAGGGAATTCAAATGACAGGGACAGAACAGATGCTAAATACCCCACTGACTACTCTCGGAATCGTTACACAGGCTACCACGATGACCATCGTTCTCAAGGTAATCCATCTCCATGCTACTCTGGTGCCTCCCCCTGTGGAAGTGGGATGGCGGGCCCAGCTCTGAGAAAGGCACCCTTGGCTCCAACACTGCATCCACACTCACAGAGCCACAACCAGCACCACCATCCGCAGCAACAGCCCCACCTGCCCCTTTCTTCTCTACTGGATGACTCAGAGGATGATGTCACTAGCTCTGTCAATAATGCAATCTCTGCTATAACAGCAGCTAATAACAGTGGAAATAGAGGGGATGATAGGGGAGACATCATAGGAGGTCTTCTAGGTGGTCTTGGTTTAGGTCCTCTGGGCTCACCTTCATCTACATCTGGTATGGATAAGAATTTCAGAGGTGGTGGGAGCCAGGAGGCAATGAGCAGCAACCCGCAGAATCCTACTGCCAAACCAAAACGTCCTCGCAAACCCAGAGCTAAGAAGGATCCTGCAGCTGGCGGACAGCCCCCCAAACGTAGGCAATACACCCCCAGAATGGGGCCCAGCGGCCTCCCACGCACTCACCTCTGCAGCGTCTGCGGTAAGGGATTTGCACGTCGCGAGACCCTGCGCAGGCACGACCGCATCCATACTGGAGAGAAGCCCCATCACTGCACTGTTTGTGGAAAGTATTTCAGAGAGGCTTTTCACCTCAGCAAGCATCAAACAGTCCACTCCGGGGCAAAGAATTATAAATGCAGCATCTGTGGGAAAGAGTTTGGTTACTCCCAGAGCCTCAGGAGGCACAGCAAACTCCACCAGAAAGGGGAGATGGAAGAGGTGCCCACAACACCAGCTCCGGAGAACCTCAACAGCTTTAACCCAAACCCTCAATGTAGCGTGGCCCAAGACAGGAGCCAGAACCAAGCACCAAGCACCTCCTCCTATTACTCCTACCCTCAAGACGTCAAGCCACAAGACACCAACCCCCAGCCACAACCTCCACCCCCACCCCAGCCGCAGCCCCCACCTCCGCCTCGACTCTACACCTGTGCTATATGTTGGAAGTCCTTCCGCCACCACTTCCATCTGACCGCCCATCACCAGACGGTTCATGAAGGCGGGGGCGAAAAGCTCTTCTGCTGTGAGGTGTGTGGGAAAGCTTTTGCTTACTCCAACAGCCTCACTCGACACAGGCAGTCACAGCATGGGATGACCCGCGCTGAACAGCCTAACCCGCAAGAAGGCAGCAGCGGGTCTGGAGACAACAGAGGTGGAAGCGATGTTAATCAGTCAACCTCAGAGAGCGAGGCTGCCACCAACGCCCTGCTACAGATGGCGCCTTCCACAGAAGGCCATGGAGGGCAGAGTCTTAGCGTCGTCACTCATAGCCACCAACAGCCACCTCCGCAACCACCAGCTGGTTACTCCCCCCTCTTTTATGATGCAGCAGCCCAATCTTCAGCCTCTAACGCTCCAGCTTACTCGCAGCCTCTGCCTCCAAACTCCACGATCATGGCCCCCCAGCACCCGCATTCCCCGGCCGGGGTGAAAGGAGAGCACATATATCCAGCTGGATCCCGTAGCCGCACCCTCCACACAACAGCCCCGTTCCAGCCCCTCACGGAACTGCCCTCCACTGAACATCATCATCTGCATCTTCATCATCACACCTCCCACCATCATCTCCATCATCAGTCAGGTACCCAGCCCCAGCAACACCTCGACTGCAGCATCCAGGTAACACACGATGAAATGAGACGACACAAGAAGAAAAAAAAAAAGTCCAACAGGAGAGATTGGAGGGAAAATAAGTGGGAATCCCAAGATTTAGTCAGATTCGATGGAAGCAGAAAGAAGAGAAAGATAAGCTGTACAATAAGAGGGCAGTTGAATAAAAAACAAGGCTCTCTTCGTTTGACAATTAGGCGAGGAGGAGGATCAGGCGGTGGTGGGTATAAGCTTGTCAACACTGGGGGAATGAAGGTGCAGATCCTGTCGTCTCTCAAAGTCCCTGTGAAACGTTTTGGCTGTCCCATATGCCCCAATTCTGTGTTTTCCCGTAAAGCGGGACTGCTCATCCATATGGCAGTTAAACACCCACAGAAAGCCTCAACCACTCAGGAGCGACTAAGGTGCAGTGTATGTGGGAAGCAGTCTCACAGGCCTCTGGCAGCCTTCATCCATCGGGCATCTCACCGTGCCAGAGGGACTTTCTCCTGCCGGCGCTGCTCCACTCGCTTCTGGAATGCCACGCTGCTCTACAGGCACAAAGTGTCCTGCCGCCGCAGGGCTAAAGGACTGCAGCGAGGAGACGCCAACAGGCTGAAGCTTTCAAAGAGACCAGGAGAGAAACAGACCCGAGATGGTCAGGGGGAGATGCCATACCTACAGGGACCATACAGATACTGAGCATCCTGGTAGCTAAAAAAACGTGGCGTACCAGAGGGATATCTCAGTTCTAAAATGGGAAGGTGAGGAATAAAAAAGGGACTTGAAAAGGCTTTTTCTGCCTTTTAGGAGAATTTGCCTCATGTCTCTGTTGACATCTACTCTGATGACTATTAGAATGAGTGTGTTAACAACTACTGTAGAGCATCCTATAAAATATCACCAGAAACCCTTCCAGATTATACTGGAAGGTGTTTTCAAAGACGTGACTGTTTCCATAGGTTCATTAACCCCTTAAGTGCATTGACACTATGCTTGGCTGACACTGTGCAGTTACTAGACAAGTTTAGGTGAAATGACCTGCTAATGTATCTCTCTCCCCCATAACTAGAATCCCCTGCTACACCTCTTTGCTGTATGATAAACGTCTCTGCTGTGTACTTTGTCTTGTTGTTGTTCACTTAGAGGCTCTGAGGATTTTTTTAAAAATGTAAAGTGCATTTATTAGGAGTAGGGACACGGGGACAAAGACCTTTGTTGATAGTTTGTCAGTGCATGTTTGTTCTCTGGTCAAGTTTTTTGCTGAGGTTGTGAAATCACTCCTACAGTATGTGATGGTTTATTCAGTATATCCCCAGAAGTTTGTAGTGTTAAACTTGATTTGAAGGTTGCTCTATATTCCCTAGTGATTGAATCACATATAGATAAAAATGTCAAAGTTGCTGGTAATTAGCATTTCAAGGATCCCTCTCCTGCCAAAATGAAGAAACTTACAAAAAGCCTTGCGTAGTATGTTCACCTTACTTCATTTATTTGAGATATTCCTAGCTTTTATACCAAGAGATTGAAAAACAGGTTAAACAAGTGGACTGTAACACATGTTTATCTCATGTTATTTGTATGCTCTTTTTAGCAGTGATTATTTCTACAGTACTTCACGGTGTGTTAAAGACAAGGACCTATCATGATAGAAACAAATGTAATATTCCATGTATTTATGTGTGTAACCCAATCAGTCTCCATGCCAATCTTATACTTAACCCCTTCTACCTTTTACTTTTTGCTGAGTTGCAATCATATTCTTACTGTCACGCCTTGTTTTTTTTTTCTTCTAAAGAAAAATAAGTTTAAAGTACATTTTTGTCACTTTATTCACATATGAAATGTTCATACCCCTGTCAAGCCTTGCTTTTTTTTTCTTCTAAAGAAAAATGATAGTTTTAGTAGATTTCTATCACATTATTTACTGAGAAGTCAGTAGTTGATTATATTTCAGCAATGAATAAACCTTAAGTGTAATCATTTGTTTTCCTTTTGTTTCTCATTCAAAGTTACCCACTGCAATATCCAGAAGATGGTACAAACTGCTAGTCGCCAGTAAGTTATAACTGTTACCAAAGTCAGTATTGAAGTTTTACAATTAGCTTTATGTCCTCTGTGAATTTCATATCACTTTGTGGATTTAAATGGATTTCAGGATGTAGTTGATATACCAATAAATTGCATTAAAGGTCGTAGGTTTACCAATGTTATTGGCCAGATTACTCCAGGGTAATGAATTGTTTTTCAATAATTAAAAAAAAAAAAAAATGACACTTATATTATCACTATTACTTGAAATAAACACTGTGGAAAACCTCTCACTCGTAGCTCCACAAGATGGCAGTAAGCAACTCATTTTACTGTACTCTTGGCCTGGTATGGATGAGTGTGGCAGTCACATGGATTTTGCACTGATAGGGGGGTGGACTGGAGAGGCTGAGTGTTGTGTGACTGTGTGAATTATGAGCCTGTCTGCTGTTTACTACAAGATTAATGCCTCAAAGTAAACAGGATGCTCAGGTATCGCTCAGTAATCTGTAGGGACATGAAGGTGGTTTAAGGGTGACATTAAATGCATGACATTTTGCATTTTTGTGAGCTGTAAATTCACATTATAAGAACGTCAGATTGTTACTGAAACCCAATAAAAATAATTTAATGATAGAAAAATCAGAAACTGTTAAACTTGATGCTTAAATGAGTGAAACCAATCACAAATGTGTGATTTATTAACAGTAAGACCTCTAAATGATTTAATATGTTAAAAAGTCACGTGTGTGTGTTTGCAGTCAGATTGATAATTTAATGATAGAAAAATCATAAACTGTAAAGCCTGGTGCTTAAATGAGTTGCAGCAACCACAAATGTGTGCTTTATTAACAGCTAGACCTCTAAATGATTGAATTAATATGTTAAAAAGGCACACGTGTGTGTTTGCATTCAGATTGATGGTAAAAATCCATCTAAAATATGATGAATCATGCCCACTGTTGTTTTAGGTGGGGTCCCAGGTGGTTTGGATCTAAGGGGCCCACAGCTGGACAGAACTTCCATTTGAATAGTTTTATTTTAGATAAAAACAGAGGGTGTCTCAGGGCTTTAAATGGAGGGGCCTAGGACCTCTTCACACAGCTGACAGCACTGTTATATTTATTATTTTTATTCATACTTAAGTGTAAATACTCTTATAGGCTCTGTATAGATGGAGCTGACTCAAGTCTGTCAACTTCCACATGTCCAACTCTGTAAAAAAACAAAGCGGTGAACTCCTGTGGCGCGCTGTGTGTTTCGCATGTGCTCTGCAACTGTACAGTAGACGAGACAGCCCCTCGCGCTTTTCTGTGTTTCGAACTGGTCTCACGCGGCAGTGGCATGCACGGGGGGAATCCGAGCGGGCGGGTTTAGTCGACCTATTTCTAGCCAATGGGCGCGCGTCGTGGGCGGGGCGAGCAGACAGCGGAGCCAATCGGAGCCGGTGCCGCGAGCGGACAGGCATCGTCTCCGCGTGCCTCACACACGTGAGCTGGAACAGCTATTGTACGCCGGGAGGCAACGTGCTGGAGCGTTCCTCTCGCCTGAAAAAACGGCACAGTCACGTTTTCTGTGGATTACAAGGAACTGGAAAAGCCATGCTTCTCTACCTGAGTGTTACTGCGGTTATACACAGACGTGTAAAGTTTGAAACCAAAAATACAGAGCATAATAAAAGAGTTTCCGGTCATGTCAATGTATATTTGTACAAAGAGAGTTTAATTTGTGTCTCTAACTTGAAACACTTATTTGCAGGGGTATTGCTGCTGTAAGATATAACCCGGGTAAAAGTCACTGTTTGTACCCACAGACAAAACAAACAGCCTATCCTCGAGGTGTGGCACGAGGGTAGGTGTGTCTCATAAATAATAAACCAGAATAGAGAGATCAGTTAAAGCCGGGGCCCCGCCCCCTCTCGAGCCTCACTCGTTTGTTCCGCGGGGCGTGACGTAACTCCCGCTGCCCATGTCCGTTCCAGCTGAGAGAGAAACACAGAGAGGACGGTCGGACGTGGACGTCGCGCGGCCCAAACACAGACCGAAGCTCGTGCGCCCGTGACTGGATCCACCGGATGCAAGAGGAAGAAAAAAAAAGTACAGACAGAGAAAGAGGAAACGACCCGCTCCTCCTCCTCCTCCTCCTCTTCCTCCCCCCGACGGACAGCAGAGCGCGACAGCAGAGCAGAGCAACACCAATACAACTTGTCATCTGACCAACACAGACACTGCTCCCTGCGCTGTGTCTTTTTTCTACACACTGTTTTCCCTCGGTTGTTTTGTTTTGACGCAACTGTTTTTGGGATCTTCTTTTTTGTGATTGCCGGACGATTAACTCGGAATATCATCCTACAAGTTTTATTTTTATTTTTGTAATCTCAGTGTGCGGTTTGTCATTTTAACGCCTTTTCGCGTTTTTATTATGGGCAGTCCTCAGATGGTCTGACTGTCCCTCCCACACTGCTCCTCTGACAGCAATCATCTAGTGAATTTTACCAGCATTCAACTGCAATGGAATATTTCGACGTGAATATTTCTGCAAGGAAATAAAGGGACGCTGCACAAGCTCACGCGGAAGGTAACTAACTACATTTCTTAAGTTGTCAAAGTCTAATAAATGTGCGTCATTAATGCTCATACTTGTAATTCCATTACAATGGTTGCTTTATTCTGCATGGACACTTCTCAAAACTATCTCCCTCTTTCTCCCCCCCCCCCCCCC